TACCACTCGAGGAGGATGAAAGGCGGGAGTAAGTTGGCAGTGGAAGTCATAATGGGGAAGAAGAGGCCACTTAGGGTCGGCTGAGGGCTGGGTCTGCTCACGGGAGCGTCCCTGAGCCGAGAGAAGCCTGCAGGAGTGGGACAGAAAGCCCAGGGGTCAGCCTGTGGAGCCCCAGGGAAAGCGGTGGGCTCTGGCCGCAGCCCCAGAGGAGGGCAGCCCCCTGCAGGGAGCCAACCCGGGCCGCAGGGCGCCCAGGTGGGCTAGTGGGTGGGGGTAATCCTCCGCCCATCCTTCTCCACCGGAAAATAAAAGCGGCTCGCGAGATCCTCCCCTCACTCCCTCAGGCATGCAGAGTCCGAGGATGAAAATGTGCTGAAACCCCCTCACGGTTTGGGGGGGGGGGGAAACGCTAAGGACTGAGGAAGATGGTTCAACGCAGGCTGCGAGTGTCTCCGGGAGCTCTGGGGCTTGTCCCGCCGCGCCTTCTCCCTTCCCGCGCGCGAGCCGCGGCTCGGGTCTCGGGGTGGAAGCGGCCGTGCGCGGGGATGCTCTTACATAACCGCCCGCCGCGTCCTGCTTCCCCGCGGGGTGGGCGCCTGGGGTCGCGCGGGAGCCGGGGCAGCCGCGGCCCTGCGGGGAGAGCTGCGCGGCGCGCGGCGGGAGGAGGGCGCCCGGGGCGGCGGGGGAGGTGAAGGTCAGTGGGTGTGAGGCGCCGGATCCACACCCCCTCCTCCCTGTCCCCTCCTTCCCTTCCTCTCCGTCCCCCTCTGACGTCTGGAGCTGGCAGCTCGGCGGGTTCCGCATTCCCGACCCCTCCCCGCCGCCCAGGGGCCGCTATATAGCCGGGGCTGATGCAACCCGTCCCGCCGCCCGCCACAGCCTGCGGGAGGGACGCTCGGCGGCCGCGACGGGGGGCGCTGGCGGCGGCGGACGCTGCAGCGGCGGCGGGGCTGGCGCCGCGGCGGCTCCCGGGCCGGGACGGGCCTGGGCACCGGGCGGAGCTCGGCGGCCGGGCAGCAGCGGCGCTGCGTGGGCACGGCGCCTGCAGCCGGGCCCCGGCCCCGGGGGCGCCGCCTCCGCCCGCGGCTTGTGCACGGTGGGTGCGAGGGCGCGCGCCGGGGGGCGCCGGGCGGGGCGGGGCGGGAGGGGCGCGCCGGGCGCGGGCACCTGGGACGGCGGCCCCCGTGCGGGCGGAGGCCGGGAGGCTCCCGCAGCCCCGGGCCGCCCCCCGCGACCCCCGCGAGCCTGTCCGGGCGGGGGGCGCTGCAGCCCCGGGGCCCCTCCGGCCCGGCGCCGGGGAGCCGGTGAATGCCTTTTGGTTCCCGCCCAGGGACGGTAGGCTCCGTCGGCCCGCGGGGCGGCCGGGACGCTCCCTCCCGCGCTCTCCTCCCCCGTCCGTTTGCAGGGAGGTGCTCCCCTCGGGCGGCGGGGAACCGGGTGAGTGGGGAGAAAACTGCCCGGGGACGGGGAGACGGGCGGCGGAGGTGGAGGTGGAGGCCGAGAGGCCGGGGAGGTGCAGGGTGCTGGTGGAGGGATGACAGGGACCTGCTGGCAAGTCGTGCCGGCCCCTACCCCCTTCGCTGGGAGGAAGCGCGGCTCTCAGAGGACCTGGAGAAGCGCTGGGGCTCTCAGCCCAATGGCGAGGGCTTCTCTCAGGGCCATTGCTCCTGGGTTCTGGGCTGGGAACGGGCTGGGGGCGAAGGGGGCGGCCCAGGTCCCCCGTGGGCTCCCCCTGGTTCCCAAGCCAGGTTACATAAGGAGGCAAGCCTGCTCCTCTAGGTAACCTGCCCCTCCTCTCCTGCCCAGCCCAGTTTAGAAGACTCTCTTCTGCCCCGCCCCTCAAAGGAGGTTGAGGGATTGGGCCATTTGGGCAGGATCTCAGGACCCTGGAGTGGCAGACCCAGGCTTTGCCTGGGTCAGTGGGAGGAGCTGCGAAGATGGGAGGTCTTGGCTCTTCTTCAGGGATGGATGGGCCATCCTTGCGGCTGGAGAGGCTGGTGGAAGAGGAACTCAACTGACCCCTTGGGTCAGCTCCAGTTGCAACGTTGCCGGACTGTTGCTCAGTGTAAGGCTCTCCCTACAGTGTAAGTTCAGGGCATCCGGTTATGACCTGATGACATGTGCTCAGGGCAGATGTGCTCAGGTCTGTCTCTCAAAACAGGCCTTGCAGACTGCGTGGGTGTGCGTACCCCGGTCTAAATCTCAGTGGACTCTCCTCGAGGTCTTACTTTGAGGAGCATCTGATCTGAAGCTTTGAACCACGATGGGGTGCCTGCTTGTCCTTTAAGCCCTTGCTGCAGGCAGTGTTCCCAGATCATCTCCCTTCCCCCCACCACCACCTTCCTCCCCTGAGGGTTTTTAAAAACACCTCCCATTGCTTTCATCTTTCCAGCAAATCTGGCTGCAGCTTGGATGGACGCCTTATCTTCCTTTGCAGGTTTCTAGGGGAGAGTTTAACCAGGTATCAGGTGTGAGCGTGGCTCTGGTTTTATATAAACCTAGGACCGGGGAAGAGAAGCAGGATCTATTCTTGTGCCTCTGGCTGGTGAAGGTTGTGCCTTGTTTAAAACAGGGAGGACAGATTTGTCAAAGACTCTTCTGTTCCTCTTCTTCTTTGGCTTTGGTTCAGAGCTGCCGGCAGCTCCAGAATCCTCCTGAAGAGCTGGGTGCTGTGAGATTTGAAGGGCTGTTGGAAAGCATGGGCGTTGAGGCCTCTGACTTTCCTCCTAGGTTGTTTCCAGCCACCTCCAGGGAGATGTGTTGGGAAGTGCTAAGCGTCCCCGAAGGAAGGATTTAGATGAGGATCTCTCTACTCACTCACTGCCTAGCTTTTGCAGCCGCTGGGGTCTGTTGTCTCCCCCACCTGTTTGCGGGCCTGTGGGCATCCTTTCCAACCTACAGAATCCTTGGCAGGATGGGAAGGGCTAGGCTCCCCGTGCCCTGTTTGTCATGGGGCTGCTGGTGTTGCAGTGGACCGTCTCTCACGCGGAGGTCTCTGTTTCGAGCCGGGCTCTGGAAGAGAGGGGCCCCGTGCGATTCCAGGTTGGCCTGCTCTGTGTTCATTCGGCCCCAGCTCAACTTGAGCAGCCAGAGCCAGGGCTGAGGGCAAGCTCCATTCTTTGCTTTTCTGCTGCAGGATGCAGTTTGCTTTTTTTCCATGTGAATGAATTATGTTTGCAACCGAAATGGGAGGAAGAGAAAAATAGAGTGAGTGTGTATGGGTATGTGTGTGTGCATACCTATATAGGCGGGGGTGGGGGGGCAGCAGGCACATTATTTTTCCATTTTCCTTTAATTAAGGCTCTGTGGAGGTGTGTTTGAAAACAGAGGGTCTCCTATGCCTTTGAGGAGGGTGAGAACACTGTTTTGGCTGCGTCCCGGGCCATATGCAGCATATGGTGGCCAATGAAACTGGGCCTGGCTCATTCTGTTGCTTGTCTTGGCAGTCGGTTCCGTGGCTTGTGTTACCAGCTCTGGAACTTACGGGCTGCCAAGCTTTGTGTGCTGTGTGTGTGCGCGTGCGCGCGCGTGTGTGCGTATGCGCGTGTGCACTCTTGTGCGTGTGTGTGGTTTGGCCTCTCGAAGCTCAGCAGAGACAAATGCCTTAGCGACCCAAGGTTGGAATTTTCAGTCTGTGTTTCTTTACACTCATAGCTGGCTGTGGGAGGCCCAGCCAGAGCCCACCGTTCTGGGTTTTTTTTTTTGTATTATTGTTATTTTTTAGTCTGTTTCCTTGCTGCAGCCCCTGGGATTCCGTTTGCAAAGCTTGATTTCCAAAGCTTGAGCTGGCCAATGGGATTTTTTTTTTAAAGGGCCAAGAATTTGTCACACAGTGTGTGCAGGTCTGTGTTATGGGTCATACTGTGAACTGCCCACACCAGAGATGGGGTGAGCGGGGAAGAGAGGAGGGAAAGCTTGTCCAATGGTAGTGCCTTCCCAGCTCTTCGCTGTTTGGAATCAGGATCTTGGCAGAAATGCCTTGATGTGTTTTTATTGAGCACCTACATTAGGCAGTGTTTATAGGCAGGGCCTTATCAAAGGCATTTCTCTGGTCTCCAGAGAAGACTCTTTCCTGGGAGGAGAGGTTCCAGTTTCTTCTTTGGCTGGGATAGACATGCAAGGATCATGCATGCTGGGGTGTCTTCTGATCCTGTCACCCCTCATTCCTTTCTTGGGAGGATGTAAGGACTGACCCCTTCTAAGCAGTGTGGGGATACAGTAGATGGAAGGACTCGGATGATGCTGGCCCACTGCCTCTGGAGGCCAGCGTGGAAGACCCTGGTGGTGTCTTGTTGCCAGTGATCTATGCAGCTGTGTTCTGGCAGCTGGAGGAAACTTTAGGAGAAACTAAGGCAGAGCATGGGTGCTGGGCTTCGTTTCTGCACTTTTGCACCCACCGCTGATCGGGCATCCTTTAAAAAAAAAAAAAGATTTTATTTATTTATTTGAGAGAGAGAGTGCATGAGAGAGCACAAGCAGGAGAGTATCAGAGGGAGAAAGAGAAGCAGGCTCCCCACTGAGCAGGGAGCCCGACATGGGACTTGATCCCAGAACCCTGGGATCATGACCTGAGCCAAGGGCAGACACTCAACCCACTGAGCCACGCAGGCGCCCCTGATCAGGCATCCTTTGTTTCTCTTCAGTAACGACCTGGATGCAGGGTGGTTTTGTCCCCTTGGGGTTTAGAGCTGGAAAGTGGGACAGCAGAGAGTCCTCTGGGGAAGAACCCTCTTCACAGTCATAGGAAAGGGAGATCAGTGCTAGGTGGGAACCGTGCGGAAGGGAGGTCGCGGGGTCATCCAGCACTGGTGTCCCTCCAGGAAGGAAGGCCTTCATGGCCACACTGACATCACGCTCACTAGGTACAGGCGCTGTTCCAGGTACTTTCCAGGTATTAACTAATGTAATCCTCTTCTCAGTCTTACAGGGCAAATAACATTATTCCCACTTTACAGCGGAGGAAAGTGAGATGTGGCGAGGTTAGGGAACTCGCCCAGTGTCACACAGCTAGTAAGGGGCAGAGCTTGGATTCCCCTTCGGATGATGGGGCTCCATCGTTCCTACTGTTTGCCTGCCTCCCTGTCCTGCCTGCAGAGCTGAGGCCCCCATCGGAGACACCGGTGCCACGCCCCTGTTCTCGGTTTTAGAGTTTTCTCCGTTCTTTTGCTCCTTGCCTTCTGGATCATCTTATCTTTTGGAAGCTGATTTACCCACCTCATTTCAGATTCCAGGAGAGAGATCATTCCAGATGATTCCTTAGCTCCAAGAACAGGTTTGCTGTTTAATTCTCTGAGATTCACCATAGTTGATACTATGTTTTATCATCACTGGCCTGGCACCTTTCTGTCTGCCACGCCTCACCCCTTCCTGCCCATGGACTTCTGTCCTCCCACTCCCCACCCCCGTTTTCCTCCTGGGAATCTTCCCAGGCTCTGGCTCCCAAGACCTCCCACCCCCTCACATTGATTCTCAGTCACTGGCTACCCACTCTAACACCACTAGTGTTCCTGGACCCTGACCCGTGAGCAGCCTTGCTCCTTGACCTGCCCCCACTCACCTCTGCTTTCTCTTAGTGCTGAGCCTTGTGGCCTCAGGCCTTTTGCACTCTTTACACACCCATTCCTGGCTCCCGATGCCAGCCCGGTCCAGCTGTTTGCCTAGAGGGGTGCTGGCCTTCTCAAAGAGACCCAGGGACTTTAGAGCTTCCCTTAAACTTTTATTTCCATGGACAGAGAGTTCATGATGCAGATCCTGACTTTCTCTTAACCTACGTCCCACCACCTTTAATCTGTCTTCACCATTCTAGATTAAAATGATGATTATTGGGCACTTTCTCACAAGATAGCCCTGTACAAGCTCCACCCATCACAGCAAGACTGTTATTTCATTAAAAATTGTATCTTACAGAGTTACGTACAGTACACAAGAGAAGAAAATAAGAGGGGAAAACTTAGGTTCCTCTACCTTTCCTTCTTTTGGCTGAAATGATTCTTCATCTTAGTATCTTCCAAGGGGACCCAGTCTGGAATTGAAGTATATTGTGGCTTTTCTTGTGCTTGTACAAGGCAGTGCCCCAAACTGTGTGCCTAAGACACACCCCCACCCCTCGCCCCCAGAAGTCAGAACAGAGAGATACAGATGTTGGATCTCTATTTTAGGTTCTTACCTCTTGGACCCATCTGGTCCCTATCTTTTCCAAGCCCGCTTCTAGGGAGCTGCATCAAACCTCCCAAAATCTTGGGTTCCAGAGCAGCTTGGGGTCTGCTGTGACCTCCCGAACGCTTTCCGTCTTATTCGTGCCTTACTTGTCAGTCTCATCTCGGATCTGTGCATTACCCAGTTTTTCTTCATTGGCTAGTTTCCAAGTTGTTCCTGGTCAATGTCCCAAATTGCCCAAATCTTCTTGGATTCTGGGCCTGTCTTTTGAGGTCAAGCCCCGTTTGCCAGTTTTGGTCTTCTGCCAACGTATGGAGCTTGCTCTTTATTTATGCATCCCAGTTACTAATGGAGACATGGACGGTGTTTATCTTGCTTTCCGACCTCCTGGGCTTGAAGGGAAAAATCTCTGGGTTCTTCCCCTAAAGCTTTTTAATGCGTAGCTCTCCTTTTCCTCCTAAATTGTTTCCGTATGGAACAAGCAGTTCGGGAGATGATTTCACCTCTTGTCATCTTTCCTATGTCTTCCTTGAAGTGGGTAAATTCCTCCTGGCTATTATAGGTTCCCGGCGACTGCCCCCCTCCCCCATTTTTATAGATCCCTAAATCACATCAAATTATTTTATTTTTCAAGTCACCAAAGTTGTCTTTTCAACCTTGGATCGTGAGCCAGCTCTTTCCAGTTGATGAGGACCTGGTTATGAAGGGCAGCCGCTGCAGCAGCTCAATCTTCTGCCACCCTCCCCAGCCCCCCCAAATTCCCTCCCCACCCCAACCGTTTAGGATGACTTCGCGCTGGTGAACGTCAGCTGTTGCGATTGTCTCCTAGGAATGGCATGTGTTAAGGACTTTGTGGTTTGTATCTAAGCAGTTAGGGGCGCCCTTGCAGGGTGGGGAGGAGGGGCTGCGAGGAAAGGGGGATTTTTGCTTCTGTAGGTGGCTGAATCTCTGAGCGCAGTTTGCCATTGGGATGGGTTCACAGGGGAGCAGGAATGGCAAGAATTTATGGGGCTGCTGCTCCCAGGGCGGGGGGTTACCCCTCCGAGGGGGTCCCACGGTAGCAAAGAAACTATTATATTTTGGGATCATTTGTTAGTGTCTCATTTAGACCATCTGTATGAAAATAAACAGAAGCTGCGAACAGAGCCTATCATTCCCGGAATAGAGTGGGGTCTGGCTTCCATCTTTCTGAGATGGTTTAGGCAGGGAAACATACAGAAGCCTCTGGAGGATTTTTCTTGGGGTCTACTGTGGGAACAAATGATCTGGAGGTGGATAATGAGCATCTAAACTCCCAGAGACAAATCCTTATCCCACTCGCTCAGTTTTGTTCCATCGTGACTTTATTTTTCATCACTTACTCATTCATTCATTTTTACTTCTTTATTGATTCACCAAGTATTTGTTGGTTACCCTTTCTGTGCCAGAAATGATGCTAGGCCCTGGGGCTCCAGGGGGCAGCAACCAGCCATGACTACTGCTTCCCTCTTGAAATCACCCCTATGCTTACTGAGTGCCCACACGCACCTTTTGCCCAGTAGGAATTGGCCTTTGCAGTACGGGAAGGTTCTGGGGCTTCTAGCCAAGGAGGGGATTTTGTGCTATATTTTTGCTTGGCTGCATAGCAGAGTTGTGGTGCCCCCATCCCGTTAGGGGTTTGTATCCAGCTGAAACACCAGGCACAGAGCATTTCCCTGCCTCCTCTTGCCTGTCTGGTTTGACTAGCTCAAGCATCCTTTTTTTCAGGGCGGCGGGGGGGGTGGTCACTGACTCCCTGTGGCATGAGTTCAGGTCTGGCAGAGGGGATATGGGAAGGGTTTCTCCTCTTCTGGAAAGGAGATGTGAGTTTCCTTTGTCAGCTTGGCTCAGGTAGCCTGAAATCACTCCCCTGTGCCTGCCAGGTGTCCCTGTGGCTGGGCCCAGGCATCATTTTGCCACCTAGGAATGAGTCCTTCCATTGGGCCCTTTCTTGTTCTCCCTGGGGGAGGCGCTGGGAAACAGCAGCTCATCCAGTCTGCCCCAGAGCCACCTTCTGGTGCGGAAACCTACAGGCCTCTCTGCATTGCAGGCCTGGCTCTGGAGGTGGGATAGGGTGCCTTCAGTCCAGTTTAGGCTTAGGAAGGGTCACAACACCTTGACCTACCACATAGAGATGTCTCAGGGGCCACGTCCACATCTGGTCTCCCACCCAGCATACCATGGGGTTGTTTGGGGAATTTCCTAAACCTGGATCTGCATGGAAGGCACAGTAGAGGGTCCTCGGTGCAAGAGAGTGATCCTTTGCTAGGGTCTAGTGTCTCAAAGTCCACCATTAAAAGATTATTAGTATCTGCATATATATCTCTTGGACTCCGGGGGGAAAACAAAAACGGCAGAGTGAGAAAGCTTTGGTTCTAAAATCCAGAGACCGGGAGTCCAGCCCTGCCTTTTCTTCTGTGTGACCTTGGACAAGTCATTTCACCCCTCTGAGCTTTAATTTCCTCATGTGCAAAATGAGGATGTGGTTAGATAAGTGCAGGGCCTCCTCCATCTCTAAGATGATGACTTGATGTGAATGAGTCTCAGATCCTTTTCTGAAATGGCCCGGGGGACACTGGGTGCTAAGGAGGGGCGAGGGGCCCGGTGTGGGAGGCAGAGCAGGTGGAGACCAGACATAGGGCCTGGGGTACCAAGTGTGAACTCGGGTGCCTGGCAGGGAGCTCTGTACAAACGGCTTCATAGGCAGATGCGCTGGGGTGCTGAGGGCAAAATGGCAGGTCCTTTGTCCACTCACACACACCGTTTTTTAAGGAAAGAGATGTCCAGTGGAAGTCTTTGAGTCTTTATGGTTCAAGGGTGCCAATCCCTCACATGCTTTTCCCCTCAGACTGCAGAACCCATTGAGAAAGAGACATAGGGTTGGATGGGGAAGCAATTTTCACCTTTAAAAGAGAACAGAGATGGAGAACATGGTGTATACTTGTGGTCAAAAGGGGCTCCCTAGTGGGCCTCTGTCCTGCAAAATAGACCTGGCAGCATGAGTGGAGACAGAGAGTTGTGGGTTACGCCCCCGGGACCACTCCTGAGGGAGGCAGTGAGCCCAAGACAGCATGGCCATAGGAGAACATGAAATCTGCCCAGCGGGAAAGTGTGTTCCAAGGGATGTCACATCTCCCCTGTCTCACCAAATACATCCCTTTCCATGGGAAGAGGCTGATGGAGGTGGAAGGGTAGGACAGAGCTCCCCCAGGATTTCCAGGATCGTTAAGGTTTTAATTTTATGGCCCTATGCAGAGAGGTGGGAAGGGAGAGAAGTTCCCTTTTGCAGGACTGACATCCTGGAGCAGCTTTGCACTAAAATGTGACTTACAAGGCGGTACACATCAGATCTCCATATTCTCAGTGACTCCTGACTCATAGGTGGTCATCAGTTGGGTGGCTGGATAGATGGATGGATAGATACGAGCCCTCGAAGGGACCAGATGAGTCTGGCTTTCTTGGCAGATATGCTTTCTTCACTGCTATCTGTGTCTTGAAGTGACCGTTTCTTACCCACAAGCTTCTCCACACAGAGAGAAGGAATAAGAGTTCCCTGGTGTTGACCTGTCTGACTTCCATCTTTCTCTCATGCCTGCAGCTGTCTTCCTTTATACACCTTCTGGGTCTGGCAGAACCAGAATATGGGTTTGCTTGGAGAATAAAGGGACCAGGAGGACTTTTCTAACCCTGGGCTCCGCTGGGCAGGTACCCACTAGTCCATTTCATCTTTGCCTCCGTATTATCCCCATAGAAACCAGACACACACACTCACCTGCACGCTTACCTTGAACTTTGACTTGCTTCATTTCATATTCAGGGTGTCTTAACAAGTATGCAGAGCGGGGTGTGTGATCTGAGGGGAGGCACTGCACCAGAGCAAAAATAACTCCTTCTCAAACAGGTGCACTGGGGCCTGAGATCCCACTGTTGTAACCCGTTTTCTTCAGAGGCAGCCCGGTGTGGTTTAAATCCCGGCTTCTCCAGTTTTAACGGTGTACAAACTTGAGTGAATTCTCTTCCTAAGCCTCGGCTTCTTCATCTGTATAATGGGTCTGACCCCGTCTCGTGGGGCTCCCGGAAGGATTACCACAGTGCCGAGCTCATAGCAAATACCAAGTCAGTGTGGCCTATGCTTGGGTTAAGCGTTGCCTTCAGTGCCAAGAATAACTTTGGTGGGAACCAACTGATCAGAGTTCTCCGCTATCACAGAATGGATGTAGAGGCGGGAGGAGCAGCTGGGTGGGAAAGGGGTTCAGGGGAGCATTAGTGAAAGAAAGGAAGAGCCCCCCTTCAAGGCATGGGGGCTTAAGCGCATGTCCTGGTCTTCTCCCACCCATTCCAGGCTGGGCTGCCGCTCCTCCTGCTATGATGCCTGGGCAGATTCCAGACCCTTCCGTGACTGCAGGCTCTCTGCCAGGGCTCGGCCCCCTTACCGGACTCCCCAGCTCGGCTCTGACTGCAGAGGAGCTGAAATACGCTGACATCCGCAACATTGGGGCCATGATCGCCCCCTTGCACTTCCTGGAGGTGAAGCTGGGCAAGAGGCCCCAACCCGTGAAAAGTGAGGTGAGCGAGCCTTGTTCCTCTGAGGGCACTCCGAGGGTAGACGCCTGGGTTACAGCCCCAGCTCCAGCCCCGCATTCGCTGAGGGACCTGAGCCTTGCTGTTCCGCCTGGGGTCTGAGGACCAGTAGAATCTATGTCACCCCACAGCTCGTTAGAGATGCGGCAGCTCAGGACCTCTCCAGAAACTTCTGCCTCAGAATCTGCATTTTAACAGTCTCTCCCGAGGAATTCACGGACATGTTCAAGTTTGAGAAGGTCTGGCTGGGCAGGATACTGAACCTGTGTCTGGTTCTCCCAGAGGCAAAGGAAGGGTGATTAATAATAACAGTAATGAATAATAATGCATTGGCCGTCTCTCTGGGCTGTTGGGACCATCGGGGGAGGTTGTGGGCACACACGCATGCTTTGGAAACCATACAAGAGAATGCCATTCGGGGACTACCTTTAAAAATAATTTAAAAATGATTATCATGAGGCACCTCCCTGCCTCTTACCCGTCTTGGCCCCAGGCTGGAGCTGAAGGTAGTCACTGGGGGAGAGTGTGTGGGAAATCTGTTCCCCAGCTGCTGCCGGAGACAGGCATGGCGACGGTCACTTGGTTCCATCTGCTTTGGGTAATGTTTGTAGAGGACCTGAAGGTCAGGCACTGCCTCCTCGGGTCCCTTGAGGCACAGTTCCCATGAGCCTTCTTTGCAGAAGAGCAGCGTTTCTCTGGGGACTGGTGAGAAGCAGAAGTCCTCAGCGTGGGTGAGCCTCTGCGCAGGACACGCCCCCAGCCACGTCCCCAGGGGTGGTAGTTAGTCCCAAGACCTGCCCCAGTGAGGTTCTTCATAGGTAATGGTGCCCCTGGATGTGGGTCCCTCCTGTGGCCTGGAGCTCAGAGGGCGGGACACTCAGGAGGGAGGGACTTTTGAGTGGGGACGGGGGTCTGGGTACTGCATTGGGTTTATTATGCTACTGCTCTGCTCCCCCTGCCTCCCAATCCCCAGGAGTGCCATCAAATCTGCAAAGAGGGGTTGCCGGGGCTTGGTCAGGGGTGGCAAACTGGCCGTTTGCGGTCTGGATCTGGCTCTCAGAGGTGTTTGGTTTGGCCCACAGTGTTTGAAAAGAAACCTGAACCAACATTTCACCTGGAAATTTGGATTTTAATCTTTGATTACAAACTCAGGAGACCTGGACACACGGTACCCCACTGTGGCCTGGCTACTTGGAATGGAGAGCTCTACCTCACCTCTTTCCTCTCTCCAGTTTGCCGCAGGCCCCCACCCCTCCCTATTGTCCTTGGTTTTGTTTCCCCTTTTGCTTTTGTTAGCACAAGCTGCCTCCATTTACCTTAACTGCTTGGCTCCCACCGGAGCAGGAGACACCTGGATGCGGTGCATCGTGGGTGCCCGTCAAAGCCTGTTAAGTTGGAGATGGAAGTCGACGGTAATTACAGTCTTCTGAGTTGATTTTGTAAATCAACGTGCTGTTAATAGCACTTCCTGGCTTTTTTAGTGCTCTGTTTTCTTTATGGAGGGCCCTCGTCTTTGGTCTTTTTGCTATTCCTTTTCCCAGGCTCATCACTTGAAAGCATCCGTTTCTGGGTCTTTCCACGGTATAATTGCTGCTGAAAAGCAGCAGCTGAGCAGTTTCACTGGGGCGCCGAGCCTGTGGGACCATCGAAGAGCCAGGTGCCTTGGTCAGGGCTGGCCCAGCAGGGGATTTGCCCCGGGGGCTGAGTTACCACCTCCTTCCCTTTCTGCAGAGGGCACCCGAGGAGCTTTCTTTTTCTTTGGAAAAGGGCTTTATTTGGGTTGGGTATTTTTACATTTCACAGCCTCCCCCAGATTGGTGGCATATGCCTTGTACCTGACAGTGACGCGCTGTCTTCACAGGCCCCCACAAACGAGCACAGCCAGGCCGTGAAAATAACAAGCCGTTTTTAGGGCGTATTTGCATGTCCCCTCCCTCACTGTCAGACTGCAGCCCCGTGGGGGCGAAGAGGCAGATGGAGCCCCTGCAGACAGCGCCGGCAGGAGCAAGCTCAGCCCCGCACTGGGAACTGACCTCCAAATGCTTCCTAGGGCCGACCTAAGATTGGGGGAGGGTTATTCTTAGAGCAACGGAAAAAGAAAGGAGGTGGGGGAGAAACTTGCCACTGGAGAACCTTCTGTCCCGACGATTTCTTTGCACGTGGCAAACTGCCTTTGGAGGATTCTTCACGTTGGCATTTTAGACTAGTGGAAGTTTCTTGAGGGATAATGAGATACTAGCTCACAACTATTAAGCATTTAAGTTGCACCAGGCCCCGTGCTAAGTACCGAACGAATGATCTTGCAGATTCCTCATTCCCCGATCCTGGTGATTGGGTTCTCCCCGTTTTAAGGTGGAGGAATTTGAGGTCTAGGGAGGAAGAGATGGAGACACCCAGGATCATACTGCTGGAGAGTGGCGGAGCTGGGGCTGTCTGGGGGCGCTGGCGCAGCTGCTGGGGTGGGGGCCCGGGCTGGGTGCGGTGCTAGGCGCTCTTTGTCAAGAGTGTCATGGAATGGGTACCTGGGTGGCTCAGTGGGTTAAGCCTCTGCCTTCTGCTGGGGTCATGATCTCAGGGTCCTGGGATCGAGCCCCACATCGGGCTCTCTGCTCAGCAGGGAGCCTGCTTCCCCCTCTCTCCGCCTGCCTCTCTGCCTACTTGTGATCTCTCTCTCTGTCAAATAAATTTTTAAAATCTTAAAAAAAATAAAGAGTGTCATGGAACCCTTAGACGTGACTGTTACCGTGATGGTGGTTTGTGCCCGCATGACAGATGAGGTCAATAAGACTTACAGAGGTCCAATGCCATGCAGCTGGGAAGTCAGCCCAGCGGTCAAACTTTATAGAGGCAGAGTGTTAACCTTAGACTGTGCTGCCCCCACCCCGCACCTCCCCACGGCTCTCTCCATTCTTACATGTGTCTAATCAACCTGCTGTCAGGCCGAGGAGACCAGATGAACCCAGCCCCCGCCATGTTCCATCATTCTGAATGCACAGCCCTTGTTAGTGCTGAACCCTGCACTTCTGGAGCCTTGTTGTCCCCCAAGCCCCGGAGAGAGAGCCGGCCGAGCTGGCCGGCGGGCAGTCCGCCTCGCAGAGGCCAGCGTTCTCTTGGGCCGTGGCCAAACACACAAAGCATTTCAGTAAAGGAACATCGGAGGAATTAAGTTAAACGACAGGTTTTGTAAATGATAGAGTGCTTTGTGCTGATGTTGTTATTATTATGTGGTTGACACTTGAATTGTTTTGTGCCAAGAGCTTGGCAGCAGTCCGCTGGTCCAGCAGATAGTGCTAAGCAACTACTGTGTGCTTGGCCCCGTGCCAGGCACTGGGAACTGAACCATAAACAAAGCAGAGGAAGCCCCTTCTCCTGGAGCTGTATATCAGAGTCGGGGGCACCCAGAAATGCAGATAGGTGAAGTAGTGTGTGATGTGAAAGGTCAGGTAGTGGTCAGTATTGTGAGGACGAATTTCGCCGAGCAAGCACATGGAGAATGGCCAGAGGGCTCGTTTGGATGGCTGGCTGGGGATTCTGGATCTGTCATATTCGGGGGGATGGGATTTCTAGAGCTGATGCTTCTCCCTAGCCTCTTTGTTCTTCTTGCCTTTCCAACAGTCCTTTTCAAGACAGCTGTGCTCTCTAGCTTTCTCCAGAGTTGTCCTTCTTTGGCATTTCATTCTGTAGCCCCTTCCAGCCGGACTCCTCAGCCAACTAGCTCCTATTGGCCTGAAGATCTTAGCCCTCCCCGGGGCATCTCCGAGTGGGCTGCTGGGCCCACACCCTGCCTCTGTGCCTGGAATGCATTTCCAGCATGGACAGAGGGAGACCAGAAGCCCCGCCCTTGCACACATGAGGGCACACACACACACTTAACCTGCTAGAGGGAACCCCTCACCCTCTGGTCCACTCTGCAGGGCCCTGGAGGACATTCAAGTTCAACAGGGTTTGGACTGGATGACCTTTTAGGAAAGAGACTGCAAACCATCATTCCATGGGCAAGAGTCAGCCTACGGATGACTCTCATTTGGCCCTGACTGTGTGGTTTTCTTTCTTGTCTTTTTTTTTTTTTTTAAATTGAATGTGTTGTTAGATTTAAAAGCCAGGAAATGTGGAATTTCTGGCTCCTTTAAAACAAATCCAGAATATCTGGTCAGTCCAGGCCCACACCCTCATAAACACCAAGAAGCTAGAGCTGAGTAGCAAATGCTCACTGTATTAGCACAAGCCTTTAGTTTGCCACAGTCCCCACTACTCCCTGTTGCCTTCCACACAGCCTGCTTTTGAGTGTGTGTCCTGTGTGTAGACCCCAAAGACAGGGATGACATCTTACATTTCCTTTTATTTCCACCACATTGTGTGCAGTCCCTTGCATGGATTGTTTGTTTGATACATGCTTGTTGGTTTAAATGTTAATTAACTCTGTCAACTTAGCAAGTCCCTTAAACTTTCTACCCCTCGATTGCTGTATCTCTCAGTTCTTATCTCCAAACATTGTCCATTTGTTTTTTATTCCTGGACTTTAGGGACTTTAGGCAGAAAATAAAGAAAGAAAGAGAGAGAATGAGGAAGAAAGAAAGAAAATCATGAAAATCAAACCAACTGTTTCTAAAACTTAGCTAATCATCAAAACTGCTTGCAAAACTTGATAGATGCAGATTCCCAGGCCTGACCGTCGGCCCATGGACTCAGAAGCTATGAGAGCAGAGTCCACGGAATCTGTATATTTAGTAGGTTCAAAGATTCCTCAGCTACACTTGGGGACCTTTTACTGTTTATGCTTCTCCTTGGGCTCTTCTGATCCTTGTTTGGGGGCATTCCGAGGGCTTCACCTGGAGGAATCAGGGTGTGCATCCCCACCTGGGCTGTCTTGCTAGCACACCTTCCACGTGGGGACTGGGTCTGCGTCCTTGTCATTCTCAGAGCGGGAAAGACTTGGCCGTTTGTGAATTTCACATTGGTCATTTCCCAACTTCTGCCAGGGGCCCCCCAAAAACACTTTGGGGCTTTTCACCACTGATGAAGTATGAATCTGAGTCTGTGGGCTACTGGGTGGTCTTGGAAGGTGTGCTCATCCTCGGCTCGGGTGGTCATCCCAGAGTTGGTGCACCCAACTGTTCGTCCGTGTTTAGCCTGAGCATGTACAAAGTTACCCCAAATCATCTGATGTGCTGGGTAAACGTTGGCGTAAGCACGCTTGTGTTTTTAGTGATTTAAAACATAAAAGCAGCCCACTGACATTTTTTAGCAAGCTTTGCATAATTGGTTTTTAATTTGCGGCTCTTTGAAATAGCATTGGCCTTCTTCTCCCTGACTCAGACACTTTTTCTGTCTCATACTTGTTTGGCAGAGAGATCCAATCTGTCCCTTCTTGGAACAGGAATCTCCCAGCTCATCTCTGAAATCCTGACTTTCCGCTTTAGTTCCGTCACTTTGTTAGCAGGCTGTCAAGAGCCGTTAGCTTTTTTATTTCCTTTAATAGTTTCATTTGAGGGAGAGCGAGTGATCGCTAAAGGCCGCTCTGGATGTCTTTATCATTGGCCCCCGTGTTACCGAGTCCCCTGGGATGCAGGACCCCAAGCCTTCACAAGGGTTCTGATGCTCTGGGTTCACCTCATCAATTGGTCACACCTGCTGTCGTTTGAGGGCAGTGTCCCTTGGAGAGAGGGTGGTGGGGACATGGCTGCATCTGTGTGTCCTTAGAAATCAGACACCTCTGCAAAGTGCAGGGAGTCCTGTGCTGCCTTCTTAGAGTCTCTGCCTTAAGATGGGGGTAATCTTAGTACTCGCCCCTTGGGGCTGCTCTGATGAGCAAATGGACGAATGCGGTTGGAAGGTCTCACGTAATGCCGGGCGCTCAGTAAGATAACACAACAAACATAAGACAGGAATGTGCTTCACTTTTCCAAGGTGTTAATTATGCGAGTTTGTTTGGATTATCGATTCCAACACTGTTCCTTGGGCTTTCATTTCTTTGAGGGTATTTTGCCCTTGGATATGGTGAGTGGCCCAAATGTGTGGAGGTCCCACGTGTCACAGGTGCAGGACACCATCCTGGCTTCCTAACCTGAGGGTCTGCTTCTGGAGCCTGGAAAGAGCTCCGGACTTGGGCTCAAGCTTCTGGGTTGGAAGTCTGGCTCCTTGGCTCACTCCCTGTATGACCTTGGACAGGTCGGCTGTCTTGTTGAGCATCGGTTTCTTTCTCTATAAAAAGAGGAAACTCATACTCACCGAGTTGCATCATGAAGATTAATTGAGGCGCGGTGTAAAACGATGACCTTGACTCCAGCACAATATGATTGTAAATTGCCTGTTCTAGGGGCTGCGGCCCATGTGCAGTGAATCACACCACACGTTCTGACAGCATTGGCCTTTCCAGTGTGTTGCACCTTTGACCTGGATTTTGGGGAAGCAAGCAGACCTTCCTGTGTCTGTTTGTTCATGCAAGTGTCATGCAGCCAGTTTTAGTTACCATCGAAAACCGTAAATGAGAAGGCCCTTCGACCCTCTGTCTTCTCCTAAGCTGCTTTGTGTGACCCTTATCTTGTTTCCTGTGGTGTTAAGGTCATTGCTGGAGTCCCGGGAGCCATCGGTTTTTTTAGCAGCCATACAAAGTGGCCTCTTCTGTTAAGGCTGGCCGTCTTTCTTTGGTGTCCCCAGGTCCACTGGCAGCATGGACTCAGAGTTGGGAAACTGGGTCATCTCGCCGGTGAGCTCCGCTGGCTGAACAACGCTGGAGCCAGCCAAGCTGCTCTCCCTTCTACCACGTCCCCAAGACACAAGACCACTTGGCCTGAGGTTGGAGCTCTGAGACCTGGGACTTACAGGCAGATTTGGGCAGGCTGCGGAGGTGCTGGGAGTCAGATCATGGGCTTCCTCTGGGTTTAGCAGCCCCTTGAGGCTGTGCACATCGTGCCCTGTGCTGGGGCTGTGTGTGTTCTGCTTAGCGGCTGTGGCTGCAGGGCTCCCCTTCTTAAGCACGGTGCCTTTGCGTGTTCTGGATGGCAAGCTCCCACACAGTTTGGCTCCATAACCCTTCTTCCTGCCCCTCCCCACAGCCAGCACCGATAGAAAAACTTGGCTCTTTGGAGGCACTGTAGCAAAGCAGGACTGTTGCATTGGAACAATTGGGTTCTGGAGACGTTACTAGGCATTTGAACTTCAGTTTCTGCCTTTGTATAAATGGGGGAGACAGGCCCCTGTCTCACACCAGATGCAAAAATTAGCTCAAAATGGATCTAAGACTTAATATAAGAGCTAAAACTATAAAACTCTTAGAAGAAAACAGCCGTTAATCTTTGTGAGCTTGGATTAGGCAATGATTTCTTAGATAGGACACCAAACTACAAGCAACAAAATAAAAAATAGGTACATCTGACATTGTCAAAATTAAAAACTTTTGTGTTTCAAGGGACATAAAGTAAAAAGATAGCCCACAGAACGAGAGCAAAGTTTTGCACATTATAGATCTCATAAGGATCTCGTATATAGAATATGTAAAGAGTTATTACAACTCAATAATAAAAATGGGTGATGCACATTTCTCCAGAGAAGATACGTGAATGGCTAATAAGCACAAGAAAAGATGCTCAACATCATTAGCCATCAAAGAAATGAAAACCACTGAGAGACCACTTCACAGGCACTAGGATGACTATACTAAAACAAAAAAATTGTAACAAATATTAGTGACCCTTTGGAGAAGTTGTAATCCTCATACTCTGCTGGTGGGAACATAAAATGGTGCAACTACTTGAGAAAATAATTCTCAAAAATTCCATTCCTAGATAGGTACCCAGTAGAAAGAAGCAGATGTCCATGCAAAAACGTGTACATGAATGTTCATAGCAGTATTATTCACAATATTTCAAAAGTGGAGATGACCCAAATGTCCATAAGTGGAAGAACAGATTAAAAAAATATGATCTACCCGTACAGTGGACTATCACTTGGTCATGAAAAGGAATAAAATACGGATACTTGCTACAACATGGATGAACTTGAGAACATTTACATTTAGTGGAAGAATCCAGTCACAAAGAACCATGTGCTGCAGGATTCCATTGATAGGAAATGTCCAGAATAGGCAAATCCATAGAGATGGCAAGGAGAACCATCCCTGGGGCCTGGCGCTGGGGGAGATGGGAGAGGTGGGGAGCGGCTGGTAAGGAGCGTGGGGTTTCTTTTGGAGTTCATGAAAATGCTCTAACATTTTTGGTGGTGATAGTCACACAACTTCGTGAATATACTGAAAGCCATCAAGTTGTGGACTTCAAGAGGGCAAATTGGTGAATTTCATCTCAATAGAGCTCTTTTAAAATGAGGAAAGATAATAGCTATGCCACATAGGTGTGGGGAGGATTCGAAGACATAATCATGTAAATGGCCTGGTATGTATCTGGGCTCCAGAATTCGTAGCTATAGTGATTACCCCCCCCCACCACCACACGTTAAGGCAACAGCAGTGAAAAAAACAGGATCTCGTTAGAGGCATTTTCTCCTCTTTTCCTTTTTATTGCTAGGGGCCATCCAGAAGCAACGAGAGCTATCTGGCAGGATTTTGTATGGAACTTGGGAGGAAATATGGAGTAATTCTGGCTACTCATTAGAGTCCCCTGGAGAGTTTTTTAAAATATATATATATTGACATGAATGGTGCCTAGAGACTGAATCAGTTGGTCTGGGTGGAGCCAGCAGGTGGTTGTAGCCTGTGGCCGTTGGTGGAAACCTCTCGTGCGATATAAACCGGCCCAGGTCTTTGAAGGAGTGAGGACATCTGGGTTCAGGATAGAAGGCTCACGTGAGCAATGCACTTTATAGTTTGCAAACTGCTTTTGTAGACATCATCTCTTTTGATCTGTTTAACAACCGTACAGCGGGTGGGTGTTATTGGTGCCATTCGTTGTGAGAGAACTGAGATTTTGAGAGGTTAAGCCACTTTTAAAGCATAATTTTATTCTGTGCTTTTTTAAAATCAAGACCCACACACATGCTCATACCTATTAGTTATCAAATCTAACGCTTTGGGGAGCACCACGGGGGCGATGCCTGCCACCAGGTTAATTGACTTTGTGTAGACTTCAGAACAAGAGCTTTTCCTGCAACTCCTCTTTAACTGATGGGCGTGCAGGGCAAGCTAATACAGTGTGATTTACCTGTGTCCGTATTCACACCCGTGCCACTGGTAATTACTGATCTGCGTGTGCAAGGGAACATGAGATGGGAATAATTTGGATCCTGAGGCTGTCAGAAATCTGTAGCCGTTCCCCATAACCTCGGAGCGAAAGGCTTCACATCAATCACAACACATCTGATTGTTCTCACTGAATGACTACAGTAAGTCTGTGATACAATGTGAGCCCCTTAATAATTTAGTATAGTGTGTTTAGTATAGTGTGGTATTATCTGAGCAAGAGACTTCTGCTGCCGAAACCAATCTGAAATCCACTGGCTCACGTTGGCGCAACTCCAAGTGGGGTCTGCAGAGCAGTGGACCAGCATCCGGGAGCACGTTAAAAGTTCTTGGGTCTTATTCTGAGACTACTGAAGCAGCTATTCTAGAAGGTGGAGTCCAGAAATCTGGGAGGAAACAAGCCCTCCGGGGCATTCTGATGCTCTCTGCAGGTTTTTTGTTTTGTTTTGTTTTGTTTTTAAGATTTTATTTATTTGAGAGAGAGAGGGAGAGAGAGAGAGATTGAGAGAATAAGTGGGGGCCAGGGGAGGGGCAGAGGGAGAAGCAGACTCTCCGCAGAGCAGGGAGTCCGACATGGGACACTATCCCAGGACCCCAGGATGATGACCTGAGTCCAAGGCAGACGCTTAACCCGCTGAGCCACCCAGGCGCCCTCTCTGCAGGTTTAGATGACCCTAGAGTCTCTTCCAGCTCCGACTGACAATGATTCTCTCTGAGAATGCCTACGAGGGTCTAAGAACACGTTTTTCTCGACAGCGATCTCAAACTGTCTGGAGGGACCTGTACGCCATCAGCTGCCCATTAATGTGTGCGGCACCTGAATTTGTGTGAGGCGGGGCTGCCTTCTGAGTTTGCAGACATTTCCAAACCAGTTATTTCCAGGTATTGAGAACCTCCCCGCTGCCAGCATTCACAGCCTAAGGGATTTCTGCATTAATGAAGCTGCAGAGTTTGTCAGTAGGCCGGCTGCTTTATAGTTTCAGAGGGAAGATCAGATAAGCTGTTCATCGCTGTAGCTGGCTAGAGTTCTCAGGGCTTTGGTCTGAGATCCTGGGGCTGGGGGAGCTCTCTGGCTCCACCCCACCCCCACCCCTACCTGCCTGCGTGCTGCAAAGCCCTTCCTTCCCCATCTCTCAACTTTTATTGCATCCATTTCCTTACATGTATCACCCATGGTGAAACCCCTCCATCCTCTGGGCCAAGGCATCCCTGGCTGTGAATTCATCTGGTCGTGTCACCTGGGTGGGATTTTTATTAGCCAAATAGAGGTCGCCTGTTCTGCTCAGTGATTTGTCTGTTATCTATGCCTTATGCTTGAAAGAAATTGGCTGAAATCCGTGTTTTAGCTGCACAACCTGCATACAGATGAAACCGAACAGCATTGGTGGAGAATAATTAAGCCAAGGACCTTGATTTTCACCTTCATGATGAAAGACAGATGACTTCCAAGGCTTTAATAGGATGATGGTACTTGAAACGTTCTTCTACTTTGGCCAACTCGGGACTTTGAGAACAGCTCTGCTCATGAAAATTCTTTGCAACAACTGCATTTTCATTTAATTGTAGGTAGTCATTTTGCAGGAGCTCTTGTCCGTGGTTTTTTTTGGTTTTTGGTTTTTTGTTGTTGTTGTTGTTGTTTTTTTAACCCCAGCATAATCAAGGCATATTACACTGCTGTTGTTAAAGAATCGGTTTTAACTGTGTTATTAACTCTTTTTGAGAAAATTGATTTGCCCTGCCAGGTATATTCTGCTCCTTACCAGTCTTTTGGGGGTGGGGAGAGTCTTATGGGGGCCACTGTTTCTCTCCCTTTCTCATCTTTTGAATCGAATGTCAATTGGGCAAGAAAATTGATTGATGGCCTCGTGGGAAACGAAACCTCACCAAACCATAAATATGAAACAGGCCTGAAATAGACGTATTTCAACAAAAGCCATCATTCTTCAAATAGCTCTTCTCTAGCAAAAGGTTTTCCTGGCAATCATCAGCTCCTTTCTGTTCAGTGCTAGACTCTCCGTCCCGGCCAAGGTGATTTTTCCCATGTCTCCTGGCCCCTAGCTCCCTTTTGCGGGAACAGCGTTTGTGCTTTTCTCTGCGGGACCATCCACAAATGGGTGTCACCCTGCCCAGCTGGCTCGTTCAGGCTTTGTTCCAAACACAATGCTGTCTTTTCTTAGCTGTGGAAACGGGCTGTTCTCCGCTGCTTTCTGAGAGAATGGCCCTTCCCTATTCTGCTCATAGAAACCAGCCCCAAGCCTCAGCAGCTTATTGTTTTCCGGGTTCTCTTAACCCAGGAGAAGGTTCTTACTGAGGACAGGGGGCTGGGAGGGCCAAGGTCAGGGGGATGCTTTGTCTTGCTGAGATGTGAGGAGACTGAGAAGTCAGTTCAGTTGGCATTGATCCCCCACCCTGCCCTAAACGTCCCCCTCCCCCCTCCCCCCACCGTGGGCTCTGATGCCCCAACAATGGCAGCAGTGTCAGGCTTTCAGTACAAAAAGAAAGCGTTCCCTCCCTCTAGAAGGTGTTTAGGAAGCGGTGGTGTTCCGATTGGTCCTGCCACCGTCTGACCGGGGTCGGAGGCGGACTTCCTCCCCTTCTTTGAACT